CCTAATGAGTAGAGAGCCCTGCTGAAAGATATCCACACATAATGTGCTGTAGTGGGGAACACTAAACCTAATGAGTAGAGAGCCCTGCTGAAATATATCCACACATAATGTGCTTGTAGTGGGGAACACTAAACCTAATGAGTAGAGAGCCCTGCTGAAAGATATCCACACATAATGTGCTGTAGTGGGGAACACTAAACCTAATGAGTAGAGAGCCCTGCTGAAAGATATCCACACATAATGTGCTGTAGTGGGGAACACTAAACCTAATGAGTAGAGAGCCCTGCTGAAAGATATCCACACATAATGTGCTGTAGTGGGGAACACTAAACCTAATGAGTAGAGAGCCCTGCTGAAAGATATCCACACATAATGTGCTGTAGTGGGGAACACTAAACCTAATGAGTAGAGAGCCCTGCTGAAAGATATCCACACATAATGTGCAGTAGTGGGGAACACTAAACCTAATGAGTAGAGAGCCCTGCTGAAATATATCCACACATAATGTGCTGTAGTGGGGAACACTAAACCTAATGAGTAGAGAGCCCTGCTGAAAGATATCCACACATAATGTGCTGTAGTGGGGAACACTAAACCTAATGAGTAGAGAGCCCTGCTGAAAGATATCCACACATAATGTGCTGTAGTGGGGAACACTAAACCTAATGAGTAGAGAACCCTGCTGAAAGATATCCACACATAATGTGCTGTAGTGGGGAACACTAAACCTAATGAGTAGAGAGCCCTGCTGAAAGATATCCACACATAATGTGCTGTAGTGGGGAACACTAAACCTAATGAGTAGAGAGCCCTGCTGAAAGATATCCACACATAAATGTGCTGTAGTGGGGAACACTAAACCTAATGAGTAGAGAGCCCTGCTGAAAGATATCCACACATAATGTGCTGTAGTGGGGAACACTAAACCTAATTAGTAGAGAGCCCTGCTGAAAGATATCCACACATAATGTGCTGTAGTGGGGAACACTAAACCTAATGAGTAGAGAGCCCTGCTGAAATATATCCATACATAATGTGCTGTAGTGGGGAACACTAAACCTAATGAGTAGAGAGCCCTGCTGAAAGATATCCACACATAATGTGCTGTAGTGGGGAACACTAAACCTAATGAGTAGAGAGCCCTGCTGAAAGATATCCACACATGATGTGCTGTAGTGGGGAACACTAAACCTAATGAGTAGAGAGCCCTGCTGAAAGATATCCACACATAATGTGCTGTAGTGGGGAACACTAAACCTAATGAGTAGAGAGCCCTGCTGAAAGATATCCACACATAATGTGCTGTAGTGGGGAACACTAAACATAATGAGTAGAGAGCCCTGCTGAAAGATATCCACACATAATGTGCTGTAGTGGGGAACACTAAACCTATCAAGTAGAGAGCCCTGCTGAAAGATATCCACACATAGTGTGCTGTAGTGGGGAACACTAAACCTAATGAGTAGAGAGCCCTGCTGAAAGATATCCACACATAGTGTGCTGTAGTGGGGAACACTAAACCTAATGAGTAGAGAGCCCTGCTGAAAGATATCCACACATAATGTGCTGTAGTGGGGAACACTAAACCTAATGAGTAGAGAGCCCTGCTGAAAGATATCCACACATAATGTGCTGTAGTGGGGAACACTAAACCTAATGAGTAGAGAGCCCTGCTGAAAGATATCCACACATAATGTGCTGTAGTGGGGAACACTAAACCTAATGAGTAGAGAGCCCTGCTGAAATATATCCACACATAATGTGCTGTAGTGGGGAACACTAAACCTAATGAGTAGAGAGCCCTGCTGAAAGATATCCACACATAATGTGCTGTAGTGGGGAACACTAAACCTAATGAGTAGAGAGCCCTGCTGAAAGATATCCACACATAATGTGCTGTAGTGGGGAACACTAAACCTAATGAGTAGAGAGCCCTGCTGAAAGATATCCACACATAATGTGCTGTAGTGGGGAACACTAAACCTAATGAGTAGAGAGCCCTGCTGAAAGATATCCACACATAATGTGCTGTAGTGGGGAACACTAAACCTAATGAGTAGAGAGCCCTGCTGAAAGATATCCACACATAATGTGCTGTAGTGGGGAACACTAAACCTAATGAGTAGAGAGCCCTGCTGAAATATATCCACACATAATGTGCTGTAGTGGGGAACACTAAACCTAATGAGTAGAGAGCCCTGCTGAAAGATATCCACACATAATGTGCTGTAGTGGGGAACACTAAACCTAATGAGTAGAGAGCCCTGCTGAAAGATATCCACACATAATGTGCTGTAGTGGGGAACACTAAACCTAATGAGTAGAGAGCCCTGCTGAAAGATATCCACACATAATGTGCTGTAGTGGGGAACACTAAACCTAATGAGTAGAGAGCCCTGCTGAAAGATATCCACACATAATGTGCTGTAGTGGGGAACACTAAACCTAATGAGTAGAGAGCCCTGCTGAAAGATATCCACACATAATGTGCTGTAGTGGGGAACACTAAACCTAATGAGTAGAGAGCCCTGCTGAAAGATATCCACACATAATGTGCTGTAGTGGGGAACACTAAACCTAATGAGTAGAGAGCCCTGCTGAAAGATATCCACACATAATGTGCTGTAGTGGGGAACACTAAACCTAATGAGTAGAGAGCCCTGCTGAAAGATATCCACACATAATGTGCTGTAGTGGGGAACACTAAACCTAATGAGTAGAGAGCCCTGCTGAAAGATATCCACACATAATGTGCTGTAGTGGGGAACACTAAACCTAATGAGTAGAGAGCCCTGCTGAAAGATATCCACACATAATGTGCTGTAGTGGGGAACACTAAACCTAATGAGTAGAGAGCCCTGCTGAAAGATATCCATACATAATGTGCAGTAGTGGGGAACACTAAACCTAATGAGTAGAGAGCCCTGCTGAAAGATATCCACACATAATGTGCTGTAGTGGGGAACACTAAACCTAATGAGTAGAGAGCCCTGCTGAAAGATGTCCACACATAATGTGCTGTAGTGGGGAACACTAAACCTAATGAGTAGAGAGCCCTGCTGAAAGATATCCACACATAATGTGCTGTAGTGGGGAACACTAAACCTAATGAGTAGAGAGCCCTGCTGAAATAGTGATGGATTTAAAACAAGTTGCGCATAATCAATAAATAAGAAATACTTATTTACAACCCAAAACTAGGCTGTTTTAAAATAAAGTATAAAACATTTTATAAATCACATCTTACAGCAATACCACTAGCAGTAAAGTCTTTAAAGAAATGACATAGCCTAATAATAGAACTGTGCTTTATCCACCCTGGATACAGGTACCATCGAGAAATAGAAATGAGCAGCTTCATGGTAGTAAAATTAAACCTAAAACAAAAGGAGAATTGACTCACCAGAACGGAGGCACTAACGTTACCTAATAATAACAACATCAACCGATGGTACCAGCAACGTTCACTAATGTCACCTAATAATAACAATATCAACTGATGCCACTGGCAATGCTATACAGTATCTACAAAAGAGAGACTGAGTCTGCACTGGTAGACACAGTCTTCATTACCCTAATCGCCAAAAAGGTGAACATTCAGCCATTTGCTTCTTCAGACCTCGGTAGAATGTTCGCCTTTACGAAGGCCATCACCTTATGGGGGTCTTGGAACTCCTTCTCGGTGCCGTTGTATGTTATACAGAGCCGGGCAGGAAAAGCCACACCATAGCGAACGTCGATCCGTCCACGGAGCAGACTCTTGACAACGTTGAAAGTGGCACGGTCATGAGCAACGCTGGGGGCATAGTCTGGGAAGATAGAGATGGGTGCTCCATTGCATCGAAGTGGGCCAAATTCTCTGGCATGCCGAAGAACATCAACACAATCCTGATAGTAACGTTAGTGTAGTTTAGCCACAATGACGCAAGGTTTTCCGGCAGGCTTTTTTGTTTGAGAGCCCCAACATGAGCGGTCTACAAGGACATCTTTATCCATTTTGAGGGCTTCCTTCAATAACTTTGAGACCGATGAAGTAGAACTTGAGCCCGGGTCCTCAGCCACCCCCATGATCCTGATATTGAATCTTCGCATACGACCTTGTAAATGTATGCATTGTTCCTTAAGGCTAGCCACATCAGTTTCGAGATTCTAAACAGTGGTTTGCAGCGTAGTCGTGTCGTCCGAGCATGTTGACAAGCCTTATTCCATGTCGGAGACTGTTTTCTTAACTGTATCCAGTTCAGTACGAACCATTACAGTATGTTTTGCGAGTTCATTCTTGACTGCTTGTAACTCCGACTTAATAAAATGTAAGTCCTCTGAGCGCCTCCTTGAGTTCCGACTTGAATTAAATGTCCGCTCTGAGGGCAGCAAGAATCTCGGCCTTCAATTCTCTGTGTTCATTTTTTCGCAGAGGGGAGGAGCCGCTGCTCCCACTTGTTGAAGAACTCGAGCTCCTCGTCTTTTGCCCAGTGTTTTCTCTTTTGTCAGTGACTCCACTGAACTTAAACTTTTGCTGGTTATGCGCCATTTAAGCATTAAAACAAAAAAAGTTGAACAAAGTAAAGCACGTCATTCAAAGGCTGTGTTTCCTAGTTCTGTTTGGGTCAAAGCGCAAAGAAAGTATTAAATAAATGCAATTTCAGGATGACATCACCTACTCCATTGCTTGCTCACTAGCGCCCCCCATACGAAATATACTTTTAACCAACTCCTCCTTTCATCTGTGGAAAGCCCTTGCAATTACCCTGATCATTTGCCACTGGAGAAGGCCAAAACATGGCAGACAAAACATTATAGCCCAAGTGCATGCGAAGAAGCTCCAATCCACAAAGTAAACAAAGATGGCGGCCACTCTATATAAAAAATATAAAAATAAGTAATGAACATTGTCAAAGCTTCATTTCTAAGAAAGAAGTAGCAGTGTTGTTTCATGAAACATGGTTTGCTATTTAATTACTGTAATTTGTTTGAGATTACATTTTCTCAAAATTCAGATAATGGATAGTATGCTTAGGTAAAGTTCTGTAGCCTACTATGGCAAGCTGTTTTAATATCTGAAATTATGTCTAACTGTTCCCAGTGGTGGCTTGCCTAGAAGGTTACTTGAAGCAATGGTGGTTGCCAGATGTATGCCAGATGATTCAAGTGAAATTGATTGGCTGCACGTTGTCCTGCCTTTGAGGATGGTAACAGGAATTGGACTTGTATGTGATGTTGTGCATGTATTTCATGCAACGTGTGCATTTGAGTGTTTTATCACAAACTCTCACACTCGCAATATGTGTGCCCTCTTACTGTGTGGATTGTCAGACCTTCCTCTGTAACAGCGGGTCCATAAAAAAATTAATTTCTTCAGGAGAAACTGGAAGGACATGACAAGTCTACACATGGTTTGTTGTGTGTGTGTGTGTGTGTGTGTGTGTGTGTGTGTGTGTGTGTACTGTGCCTGCAAGTGTGTGTTTTGCTTTCCTATTACTTGTGGCATGTCGAACACTCATAATGGGCTGCCAAAAGCCGTTTTACACTCTATGTTAAATTTCACGCTCGAGATCCCTTCACCCAGTGCCGCTCCTGTTTAATCTCAAACCAGCAAAGAAACTCCAGGATTCGCCAAAGCCTAAAGAGTAGAGGACCAAGAACGGCTATCTTGAAGTGTTTTCAAAGAGCGATTGTGTCTTTTGAGGGTGCTCTGGTGTGTGGGGGGGAATGGTATGAAACTAAACTAAACGAGGTGAAGGAGGAGGAAGCTGGGGCTCAACCCGTTCCCCCATGTCCCTCACATTGAAAAGCACTTCTCTCAGGCTGTGCCCCCTCCTCGGGTGGCAACACAGTCGCCCTTGTAAATACAGTAATGCCCCCCTGGTAGAGATGTTGCCAGGCAACAAGCTACCATTAGCACCCCCATGCCCCTTGGGGGTGTGGTGTCCTCCCCCCAGGAGGGTGACATCCCAATGAGAGACTGTCCCACTGTCACACACACACACAGGCCCAGAGCTCAGAGTCACCCTGACCACACACATTAGCTGGGATTACCATTCACTTCACTGGATGAGACTGAACACTCTCTAATGGTTTTAATTGGTGTCATTAGAGAGCCCTCATCATTAGAGGTTTCTAACTGCCATGTTGTGTGTGTGTGTGTGTTACAGCCTGCGATGACGACTGTGCTGGGCTCCTCATCAGTGATATGGACAGATTACATCGTATCATCACTAGTATCAACCTCACCACCCCTCTACCACTGCCACACAAAGTCCTCTACCGGTTTGAGAACATGACAGAGGAACTCAAGGTGAATAGAAGGCACCCAAACACTTCCCTTAGTGTTCTCTCCAAAGAGAGTACTACATTATTTCTGTATTAGACAAATCTATGATTATTAGATTCTAAAGATGTTTAAAGATCTCTGTAAGGCGATATTTTAAAAATTGCCTTGGATTTTGCTAAGATGAACAGAATCAGTCGTGATTAAGTTGCCCATCTGGAAAAGGTGCTGTGTAAATATCTCTCAGCTGTTAGTGTCTCTGGGGGAAACGTAGAGCCCGTCACAAACCGCGGCTTCAAACACTCCTCAAATCCCCTCCAGACGATACCATAACTCCACTCCGTTTAGCCACCTCTCCCTCTCACACAAGAACAAAGACACAATCACCACAATCTGTAGCAGTGATATGTTACACACACAGCAGCATTCAAAAGTATTGATAACAAGTGGTTTGATAAATCCTAGGAAAGCAGAGGAGATGGAGCTGGAGAAATAAGGCACAACAAAGATGCAGATTATTACTAAAGGGCATCATGAGGGGGGCCAATGAAGACATCACTTTATTGCTCCCCTCATGTGGAAAGCCAGATCATTGGCTCAGGCTGGGATTTTAGAGTCCACTGAGCTAGATGCCCTTTTGCAGCCGCTGGTGCTCTGCTGCTTGTAGGTCTGTGAGGAGATATATGGCAGGGGCCATACTGGCATAACACTGATGAATTGGGCTGGGGTGCAAAGTTAAATACAGGGAATCGAGGCTCTGCTCACACACACAGAGTAGACACACACCTCGCCCCCCAGACCTGTGGTGATTTAAATGGTAGATGACCTTTCGGCACAGTGCCCCACTCTGACTCTCTCCCCTCTGCATGTGTACAGTGGGGAAAAAAGTATTTAGTCAGCCACCAATTGTGCATGTTCTCCCACTTAAAAAGATGAGAGAGGCCTGTAATTTTCATCATAGGTACACGTCAACTATGACAGACAAAATGAGATTTTTCTTCCCAGAAAATCACATTGTAGGATTTTTTATGAATTTATTTGCAAATTATGGTGGAAAATAAGTATTTGGTCAATAACAAAAGTTTCTCAATACTTTGTTATATACCCTTTGTTGGCAATGACACAGGTCAAACGTTTTCTGTAAGTCTTCACAAGGTTTTCACACACTGTTGCTGGTATTTTGGCCCATTCCTCCATGCAGATCTCCTCTAGAGCAGTGATGTTTTGGGGCTGTCGCTGGGCAACACAGACTTTCAACTCCCTCCAAAGATTTTCTATGGTGTTGAGATCTGGAGACTGGCTAGGCCACTCCAGGACCTTGAAATGCTTCTTACGAAGCCACTCCTTCGTTGCCCGGGCGGTGTGTTTGGGATCATTGTCATGCTGAAAGACCCAGCCACGTTTCATCTTCAATGCCCTTGCTGATGGAAAGAGGTTTTCACTCAAAATCTCACGATACATGGCCCCATTCATTCTTTCCTTTACACGGATCAGTCGTCCTGGTCCCTTTGCAGAAAAACAGCCCCAAAGCATGATGTTTCCACCCCCATGCTTCACAGTAGGTATGGTGTTCTTTGGATGCAACTCAGCATTCTTTGTCCTCCAAACACGACGAGTTGAGTTTTTACCAAAAAGTTCTATTTTGGTTTCATCTGACCATATGACATTCTCCCAATCCTCTTCTGGATCATCCAAATGCACTCTAGCAAACTTCAGACGGGCCTGGACATGTACTGGCTTAAGCAGGGGGACACGTCTGGCACTGCAGGATTTGAGTCCATGGCGGCGTAGTGTGTTACTGATGGTAGGCTTTGTTACTTTGGTCCCAGCTCTCTGCAGGTCATTCACTAGGTCCCCCCGTGTGGTTCTGGGATTTTTGCTCACCGTTCTTGTGATCATTTTGACCCCACGGGGTGAGACCTTGCGTGGAGCCCCAGATCGAGGGTGATTATCAGTGGTCTTGTATGTCTTCCATTTCCTAATAATTGCTCCCACAGTTGATTTCTTCAAACCAAGCTGCTTACCTATTGCAGATTCAGTCTTCCCAGCCTGGTGCAGGTCTACAATTTTGTTTCTGGTGTCCTTTGACAGCTCTTTGGTCTTGGCCATAGTGGAGTTTGGAGTGTGACTGTTTGAGGTTGTGGACAGGTGTCTTTTATACTGATAACAAGTTCAAACAGGTGCCATTAATACAGGCAACGAGTGGAGGACAGAGGAGCCTCTTAAAGAAGAAGTTACAGGTCTGTGAGAGCCAGAAATGTTGCTTGTTTGTAGGTGACCAAATACTTATTTTCCACCATAATTTGCAAATAAATTCATTAAAAATCCTACAATGTGATTTTCTGGAATTTTTTTCTTCTCAATTTGTCTGTCACAGTTGACGTGTACCTATGATGAAAATTACAGGCCTCTCTCATCTTTTTAAGTGGGAGAACTTGCACAATTGGTGGCTGACTAAATACTTTTTTTCCCCACTGTATGTGTTTGTGTCTCCCCCACAGCACATGCTCTTTCCACAGAATTCGCTGGAGAGGCACCTGCAGCTGGCCGACAGTAACCTGGGCAGCCTGGTGACAGAGATGGACGATCTGCTGAGTCGGGTAGGTAGGACACTCCTCATGCCCCAGGCCAGGCTAGGCCAGGCTGCTACTGTCCACTACTGAGGCACAGGGACTGGCACTACTGTCCCTGTTGACACCACATGGCTGTCCTGGCTCCCCCATCTTCATTTGATCACTATTTTTTTGCTGAGAATTTTCCTGCACTGCAAGAAATTCAAACTTGTAGTGTATTCGAGGTTTAAAAAAGCTTTTAAAGTTAGTAATTTACACTTTAAAATGTCAGATTTGATTTGCCCTAATGAAAAATTATAATCCACATAATAATTCACATTTCCTGTTACTGCAGGATTATGTTCCTACTGTAACAAACTGGCTCAAATTAAGATCCTACATCTGTAGAAACAGATGAAAGCTTTTGTTTGTAACTTTGCGATATCGGTTCTAGCAAGGTTGTCTTTTGTGTCTGTGAACATAGAATGTTCTGTTGCAGAAAGATCCTTGGATAGAGCTCTGTTACCAAAACACAACCCACAGTCTATAAGACATCTGTACTTCTCGTTTCTCTGACAGGAAAACACATTCTGACATTGACATTTTCTTGTCCACATAACTCAACTGGCATTCCATAGACATGAAGACCACTCCGTTATGTTGTTTAATGTAGTCCTAGTCTGTTACGTAAACACAGCTAGTCCATTCTGTGATTCACTCATTCTATAGTCCTGACCTTGTTGTTTTGTTCCTTGTTGCAAAATAAAGATTTATATTTTATTTTTAGGCCTTGGTTATTGTAAGGAATCCATATATTTTCAGAGACATTGGTTCTTTGTGTAAGTCCTGGGTTGTCTCTTTTGATTCAAACACACAGTCAGGAACAGTACTTAGCGATTGACCTTGTTGTGCTCAGCTGCTTAAACTCTCTCAATCATAATGTTTTCATCGATAGAGCATTTCTGAATGGTCTAAATCAACTCTGACTGATGGTTATGAAATGGATTTGTTTGACCAGTCACTCTGAGGCTGTCCCTTAGAAGATTGGGGGCCACAGGATTCTGGATTGGAAACGTGCAGTTAACCCACTGGGCACAGACGTCAATTTAATGTCTATTCCACATTGGTTCAATGACATGGAAACAACCAGCGTGTGCCCAGTGGGAAGGGTGCATCTTGAATGAACACTCTGAACATTGGTCCATCCTGGATTGGTTTGTCGGTCTAGCTGATTGAGTGTGTGTGTTCTCTCCCAGGTGACCAAAGTATCGGCAGACGGCGAGCAAACAGACGACGATGCTGAGAGAATCCACGAAAGAGCCAAAGAATTGGAACTATTCGTCAAGAACACCCTACTGGCTGCAGAAGGTACAGTACATTTGTCTACATTCGTATAAGATTCTCCCATAAACTATTACATCTAAATGACATTCCTGCTATAATGCTGCAGAGCATTGATTCAGTGTCGTAAAGGCCAGAGGTTCAGGATGTTGTGGAAATCAGTGTCTGGGCTCAGTGCTGTGTCCTCTGCTCGGTGATTAGACGCAACTGTTTTGTAACATTTTCTACCGGATTGAAATTGGAAGATGATTCAGTTAATAAAGGGCCTGGTTGGTGTAGAGCGCTGGAGCAGTGTAGCCATGTAAAGGCCTAATTAATAGGGATGGAGGATGGGGTCTGGAGAAGGCGGTATAATCAGTGGGCTGGCACGTTGTGGCTCTTCACCATGGGCGACATGATTAGTGTCAGCAGGGAACCTTTCTCCCCCAGCCTCGCCTTGCCTCACCAGCATGGACCAGCCCTGCTAAATGCTACAGCAGGTGGGATTTGCACTGCCAGAACCATATGGCACAGACACGTGCATGCATAGATACACAGACACACATACACACACTTTCAAAGGAATGTACACACACACACACACACACACAAACTTTCTCTAACCCATTTGAGGATTGGATTGGATTGGTTCAAATGGGCTATTTACTGAGAGCAATGACACACTTCAGTGATGCCATCCTTATTTACATAAAAATTGTATTTTCTGACAGATTTCCAAAAAAGAACTCACTCAAAGTAGGATGCACAGAGCATGTCTCTCTTAACTTCCTCACAGATATTCATGATCACATAGAGCAGCTTGTAAAAGCATTCAGGAGGAGATTGGACAATTATTTCATGCAGATGTATTCGGAAAGGAGACATTTCGGATTATGCAATCCACCAAACATTTAAGTGTTTAATTGCCTTTGAAACATGGTATGTAATTATTCCGCGCCGGAGTCCTTTAATAGGTATATATTTTGTCTTTGTAATCACATTAAGTGTTTACGTTTGAACTGTTCAGGAATGTAGGGAATACATCCGATTAAGCCTCATTTTCAATTTGATGATTTATATTCAAATTAGAACCCAATTGGAGCAACTTATCTCTCGGTTTCTTTTGAACTGATTTGGTTTAGATTTCAAAGACCACATTCATTTGATTACAGTACATTGGTCTGTCAAGCAGAATTTGAATGTCTTTGAATCAACTTAAAAGAAGCCTCTAAAAAAGTGCTTTTGTTGTGATGCACTTTGTTCTGCCTTGCCTTTGAGCAACTCATCTAATCTGGGCGCTAGCTTCGGTAGCTCGTCCCTCTGTACTCTACGAACACACACACAAAGGCTTGGCTATACGCAAATAACATGCACACGAAGATGAGTTCTTTGCTGATGGTGGCGTCTAGTGTAGTGTAGTAGTACGCACTTCCTGTACTAACTGGCCCTTGGGCGGTTTAGAGGCCAGTGTGGATTCGGCATTTTGACGTTAGCAGCCTAGCTAACAGACGCACAGCCCTCTCACCCCCCCCCCCCCCCCCCCCCCCCCCCCCCTCCCTCTCGCTCTCTCTCTTTCGCTCTCTCTCTCTCTCTAATGGTCATCATGGCAGCAGCAGGATAAAACCCTGTGTTTTGATGAGAGGAGACATGTAACAAACACTGTTTGATTTATAACACATTCTGTTCTCAGCCTTTCAGCTAGAGGTGACAGTATAGGACAGAGTGTCAGGAGATGGAGAATACTGCTTTATGGCAGTGTGTGTGCGTGTTCATGCTTTCGTGTAAAAATTACAATGACTTCCCCATGTCCTCTATCCTCAAGCTCTGAAAGTCAAGGCTAAAGAGCTGAATGAGACTCCGGGCATCAGGAACGGAGCTCCAGAGAAGAGCCTGAACGAGATGCACCAGGAGATTGAGACCATGCTAGCCAAGCTCCGTAAACGCCAGCTGGGAGGCAAGAAACACATCTCAGAGGATGAGCTGGGGTAAGGCCTGACTGGTCAACCCCAGATACCAACCTTTAGTCAACATCAGATCACAAACTATAATGTCAGTCTATTATGGTTCACACAGGGATGGGACAGTGTATCCAAGCATAGCAGCACACCACAGGAGGTTGGTGGCACCTTAATTGGGGAGAACGGGCTCGTGGTATTGGCTTGAGCAGAATTAGTGTAATGGTATCGAACATGGTTTCCCTGTGTTTGATGCCATTCCATTCGCTCCGTTCCAGCCATTATTATGAGCCGTCCTCCCCTCAGCAGCCTCCACTGCAGCACACAGGTCACACCACATGACTCATATTTTTAGGAATGCCTGGGTCACTATAATCGCAGCTAAATTAATGCTTTCATATAGTAAACAAAGAGGTGATCCATTTAAAAACATGTTGGTATACTGTAGGAATTTTCATTTGCATATTTATTGTTTCACTGTTTTTTAAAATATTCTACAAGTAATTTTGTGGCCAAGCAAATCTCAGCTGAATGAAGGAAGTTTACTTTTCTTTTGTGAAATCTTAATGAACTAATTAAAAGTTGCCTGAGGTGGGTGAGAGGAATAATATTCCTTCTAATCAAACCAGTTTACTCATGTTTCCTTCTGACTGAGGCCTGGATGAGTCATGCAAAAAGAAAGAGGGACATCTAGTGGCTGGTCTGATCCACAGATGGAGGAGAAGAAGAAAGAAATTAGAGAGAAAGAACATCTTCTCTCCTCCTCACACCATACAGTACTCTGATCTTCCCCTCTGCCTTTCTCTTTCCCCATCGCTCTCTTTCTTTATCTCTCTCTTTTTCTCCACCTCCTTCTCTTTCCCTCTCTTCTTCCCTCTCTCTCCCTCTCTCCCCTCCTTCTCCTTCCACCCCCCTCTCTCTCGCTCTCCAGACTGGCAGAGGCCCTGTACCAGAAGGTGAAGCGTCTCTTTGGGGACCCACACAAGGCCACGGAGGACCTGAAGGCCGAGGTGACAGAGAAGATGGGTGACCACCGGGCCAAGCTGGACGACGCCCAGGCCCTGTTGAAGGACGCCCAGGGGAAGAGCAGGGAGGCTGGGGCCCTGTCCGGACAGAACCAGCGCAACCTCACTGCCCTGGAGGTCAGCAGCCTGTACACACAAACACACACACACTCACACACACACAAAACCATACACCTCCCATTTCGCCCTTTTGATAATGGGTAGCGGTGTCTATTCACAGTTACAGTATATACACAGTTCTGTGTTGTAGTTTCTGTAAAGTTAGTTGGGCTGATTGTGTTGTCTGGTCTGCTTGCAGAGAAAGAGGGATGCTTTGAGCTCAGTGAAGAAAGCAACTGAAGAGGTGCTGGAAGACGGAGAGCGCATTCTGGCTGAAGCCAACGGGCTCTCAGACAACATCAATAAGGAGATTGAGGTAGGCTCTGTCTCTAAACACCACACACACAAACACACACACACACACATACACACATCTTAAACTCCAGTCAGGCCTGTCAAGCCCCCATCATTGGGAGAGGAAGACAAACACCTTTACTCTGTTGGAATGCTTTTGTGATGTCAGACAGATGTTGCCTGGAGCACTATTGGACTTGACCTTTTCCTGCCTAGGCTTTTATTTCTACATATGTCCCACCTGCATCAAGCCAGGGGTTCAGCTTCATCTCTTTCTCTCTCTTTCTGTTTGTTTTTTTGTCTGTCTGTGTTGCTCTCCTGCTCTATCTGGCTTTCTGTCTGTCTCTCTCTCTTACTCTCTCTCTCTCTCTTCTGTGTAGGAGATGGAGCGTGAGCTGGGTCCTCTCCATGAGCACCTGGACTACAGGGTGAGCCGTCTGACCAAGAGCCTGAGTGACAACACCCTGACTGACCTGCTGCAGGATGCTAAGAACCATGCGGCCCAGCTCAACAAGTCCTCGGGCATCCTGGACAGGTACGGGACAGACAGACAGACAAACAGACACACATACATCAGACTGGTAGTAGTTTTGTTTGCTCTACCTCTGCTATAATGATATGGTGGATTGAATGTAATTGTTGTTATTGAATGTTTTGTTCATGTATTGGCTGGTGTCCTAACCAAGTCTCTTGCTGCTTCCTCACAGCATCCTGGCGGAAGCCAAGAATCTGTCCTTTAACGCCACGGCAGCGTTCAACGCATACAGAAACATCAAGGACTTCATCGAGGAGGCTGACAAAGAGGCAAAGCAGGCCAGGGCACACGGGACAGAGGCCCTTCAGCTGGTGAGAGTACGCACACACACACACCTACACACATATCACCCCTTTACCCTGTGTGTGTGTGTGCGTGCATGCGTGTAAGGACTCAAAGAGGATCTCTCTCTCTAATGTGCTGAGCAGCAGAGATTTGGCATTCAAAAGTTTTTGCATTTCCTTATTCGTTTCCATTTGTCACGCTGGAGAGATCAAAGTCTCAGCGCTGTCGTCCTTATTATCATGACTCTCCCTCCTGCAGCAGGAGCCAGCGGAGGTGAAGAGAAACCTATTCCCCCTCTCTTTCTTCTTCTGTTCTTCTCTCTAAAGGAGAGAGGGAGAGGCTCAGAAGGCTGAGTGGGAACATTGGTCTCCTCTGTGGAAAATCTCCTCAGCCCGTGTGTCCTCTGTTCAAAAACACTGCTTTTTTCTCTCCACATATTATTAATACAATGTTGAAAAAGACTACGGTCGTTTTCAAAACTGTGTTGGTATTTTTGTATTAATTTATGTACTTTAATATATTCAGTTATGATGAATACTCTGAGAAACAGAGCTGTATTTACCTGGGGTTCTCTCTATGAGGAAAATGTGTTCTAAGACTTATATTAATCAGCATTTGTACTGTTCGTACATTGTGCAGTTCCTAGGAGTACCTAGTACCACTGTATGTTTGTATGTACATAGTTGTTCTACTACGTTGTTCCGTCACTGTAGAATGCATTGTTCTGATATTCAAACTTAAATTATTGGTGCACACACACATGCAGGCCTCAGGACCCAAAGGCTCTTTGAAGGATAACGCCAAGAACTCTGTTCAGAAGAGCGTTCAACTGTGGAACGAAGCCAAGAAATTAGGGAGCGATGTGAACGGTAAACCCAGTCCCCCCCCCCCCCCCCCCCCCCATACAACACCCACCAACTGTGATGATAAACGGCAGAAATATTTCAAAGAGCTGTGTTTTCTGAGGAGTGTTGGCATGGATATGTGTTTGCGAACCAAGCGGAGGGTGCGGTCTTTGTGTTTCAGAGAACGGTGAGAGTGTGGGCAGTCTCCAGGCCCTGGTGAAAGCTGGTGGCTTGAAGAACAAGGGCTTGCTGAAGGATCTCGACAATACATTAGGGAAGCTGAATGCAATCCCCAATGGTAAGCACACAAACAACACTGTAAAATGACTTTTGTTTAAAAGGAACAACAAGTGAAACACTTCTCATTGATGTGTGTCGCTGCTGGAGCAATTTATCAGGCTGAGCCCAGGATGTGGGAACAGAATGGATGGATTGTAGTGTAGTGGTGTAGCTATGAGGTTAGAGGACATCCTCTTGTAGATCCAACATGACAGACGTCAATGCAGCACAGTCCAGGTTAAATATGGGAAGGTATCAGTCACTGAGGAAACTGACAGACAGGGTGCAGTAGAAACATCTGACAGGTGAGCAGCAGAGTTCACATAAAGGTTTCTGTAAGTCATGTATGACTGACTACCTCCAATAGTCCGTACCATGTTGGATTACCATTCTCTTTTCAATTTACAGGAAGACTTTGATTATTGCATACTGTATACCAACTGTGTTGTCCAGATACAGCAGCCAAGCTCCAGGTTACCAAGTCCAAGGCAGGAGATGCCAACGACACAGCCAACGACGTGCTGGCCCGACTGAGAGACATGAACCTGAACCTGATGGGCCTGCAGAGGAACAACAGCAAGCTGGAGGACGACGTCAACAAGGTCAACAACATAATCAAGGACCCTGAGAAAAACAGTAAGAGATCTTCTGGGTGTTGTAGTTCTTAAGGGTAGTCAAGCCTTAGCTACAGTATCTACTGTATATGAAATGATTGTCTGTGCCATGTCATGAGCTGATTGACTCAAAATGCACTCTTTTTTTGGGTTCAAACTTTTGTTACTCTGGCACATTTGTCTCACACAATGACATTGTATAATTCTGTATCTCACATATTTTTTATTTTCTGTCCCATTTTTCTTTTGAACCCCAACAGCTATAAGTATATATACCTTTTATATTACCTGATCTCTATTCTGGCAACGTTCAAAGCCTCCTGAGCAACAAAGCTCCTGCATGATGACAGAGAGATGATGACACATCAGTGCTGCATGGGCTGTACGCTATACCATAGCTGCAGGAAGAATAATAGCAATAAAAATCCTCCTTTCTTTCATTCTGTCTTCCTCAGCATCCAATCTCTTTGTTTCACACCAACAGGATTAAAACGTGTATTCTAGAGCTTCACTAAGCCTGTTATCCTAATGTATGTATGCCTTAGAAAGATTACCATTGGCTAATTATGAATACATAGCAAGCCATTTACTATGTCATCTCCTTTGTTCTCATAACAGCTTTCAGCTCTTTACCTTTAATGCTTCTAAATAAGTGATTAAGATGCCGCCATCTCTCCGCTGATCTCTGACTAATAGAAAGCAGTGGCTGTGAACGTTCTACAGTAGTTAATAAGGAAGACTGATGTTTTTAGACTGATGTCTCTCCCCTGTGTGTGTGTGTGTGTGTGTGTGTGTGTGTGTGTGTGTGTGTGTGTGTGTGTGTGTGTGTGTGTGTGTGTGTGTGTGTGTGTGTGTGTGTGTGTGTGTGTGTGCGTGTCTGTGTGTCTGTGTGCGTCCATGCGCGCGTGTGTTTCTTCGTGCCTGTGTGTGTGTCTCTGTCTGCCTGTGTGGGTGTGTGCTTGCCTGTGTGTGTGTCTGCTTATGCATGAGTGGTGTGTGTGTGTGTGTGTTTGTGTGTATGTGCCTGTGTGTGTCTATCAGTCCATGTAGTGGGGGCCAAGGTGAAGGACCTGGAAGACGAGGCAGACAGACTGCTGGAGAAACTGAAGCCCATCCAGGAGCTACAGGACAACCTGAAGAAAAATATCTCCCAGATGAAAGAGTTGATCAACCAGGCGCGCAACAGGCCAACTCTGTGAGTCACACTCCTCCTCTCCATCCCTCTCTCTCGTTCTCAACTCCCCCTGTTTTCACAGCTTTAATCAGTGGCTTCTAAGATGGCCATTCTGCTAATTGTGCCATCATCACAGACATCACGATTCACAACTCGTTCTAGGACAGTTCAGTCTCACACAGTTGGTTCTTTCTAAAGTGATGAACATTTAGTCACCTCCCTCTGAATCCCTCCACCCTGCTTTACCCTGTGGTGCACATGCATTGGCACAGTTTGAGTGAAGGCTCGGTTTAAAAAAGAAAAATTCAATCTCAAGGCTTTTTTTAAATAAAATAAAATAAAAAATTAGACAAAAGACTAAAATAACATTGCTGCTCTTGCCTCTAAAGGACCTTGTACTTCACTTCTGTTACATACAACACAATTGTGTTTTCCTGAGTGTTCCTTGGGCTTTTTCATTGCTCTTAGCTTGTGAGCATCGTAGAGCAAAACACTTGGGCTTTCCTGAGAGTCTAACCTTTTCAGAATGGGGTCATAATAGTTTGTAGCTCAAATCATTCAGACTTTACAGCATACAGTACAATCATTGCTTTACAGACATTTTTGAAAAATATATAATAATTTAAAACCGGTATCCTCCCTTGTTTTACAAACACTGCTGTAGCTCAGCTTCCGTCCACCTCACAGACTAATGGCGGGCATCCACGGATTCAGTGGAAATAGACACATCCAATGGAAGATCCTTGAGCGTTCCTTGGGCTTTTTAAGTGCTCTCTGTCTGGTGATCTCTGTCTTTCTCCACAGATTAAAGTGTCTGTGTCCTCCGAGGGAGACTGTATCCGCGCATATGGACCAAAAATCAAGAAGGGTCGCTACAACGCCATCATTGTGAATGTGAAAACCACCTCCCCTGATAACCTACTGTTCTACCTGGGCAGTACCAAATACGTGAGTTGGAGGACATAGCACCACACTGGGATGTTAGTCACCCGTGTGTGTGTGTGTGTGTGTGTGTGTGTGTGTGTGTGTGTGTGTGTGTGTGTTTGTGTGTGGATACAATCCGCCAGTAAATCACTGAACCATAATAAGGGAAACCTCAGGGCAACAAATAATGTGTGTGAAACGTAACATATTAGGGCCATTTATCAGTGTTTAGATTAGGCTCATCTCTATTCTGGGATGTGTAATGTGTTGTTGGCCAATTAATTTGAAATCATTCCACCAGTGGTTACTTCTCAACATGCTAGATAAATACCAATTATCTTAAAGTCGGAGAGAAAATAATAAAAGGTTATTTGTTTCCCTGTGTGATCCCCAGGAGAGAGTGGGTGATATTGCCTCTATGTACAGCAACAGCAACCACAGCAATTAGCCGCCAGTTCAAACCAGACTATTTAATCTGGCTTCATCACTGATTTCCCTGGGGAAATCACACTCCTGTTGTTCATCTCTTGATTTGCCTGTGACTCTTCCTCAGTATCTTATTCTAATGTGTCCTGCTCTGTTCTTCTACACTGTGTTACATACACTACACTGCAGCAACCAAGACCCATAGAGAGAGAAAGAATAGTAATGGACCTGTAATGTTATCAGATAGGAGATTGCAGCGCAGCATCTTCTTGGCTCATCATCTGTCTGCCTCTAGATTGACTTCCTGGCAATTGAGATGCGTAAGGGAAAGGTCAACTTCCTGTGGGACGTGGGCTCCGGAGTGGGTAAGGTGGAGTACCCTGACATGACTATAAATGACGGCAACTGGCATCGCATTGAGGCCTCACGGTAGAATACCATTGTTATTCATATTCTATACAATATATTTTTCAGAGCAAAGATTATACAGAGATATAGAGATTTGTCTATCAGTTGATTAATTCATTAATATTTTAACATTGATTGTGCCAGGTAGGCTTCTTATTCAAAAGTTAATTAACTTATCATCTGATCATTTCTGTTTTGGTCCCAGGAATGGCATCAATGGCACCATTTCTGTTCATGCACTGGAGGGTCCCAGAGCTGGCATCATGCCCACCTCTAAGAGTGGCACCTCCCCTGAGGGCTATACTATCCTGGATGTGGACCAGAATGCCTACCTGTTTGTCGGTGGCATATTGGGCAGTGTGAAGGTAGCTGATATCACTTTGTCAGACAGTAATTTATCCCAGAGCCATTTTGTCATTTGTACCTGTTTCTATTTTGGTAGATGCATTGGTATTCACTATGTGTTTCGTTGTTTGTCCTGTAGAAAGCGGAGGCGGTCAAAACCACTACTTTCTCCGGGTGTATGGGAGAGACATACCTGGACAACAAACGTATTGGCCTGTGGAACTACAGAGAGAGAGAAGGAGACTGCAAAGTATGTGTGGTTAGGTAGGTCTGGTCTGCATGATCATATCACATTGAATACTTGGTATGAATGTCTCTTATAGTGTATGGACTTGACTAACTTTTAAAAAGAAGATCTCATATACTTTCATAAACCTTTTACTCTGAAGTTCACTATACAATCTTTGATGTACTAAAAGTTCACTTCCTCGACTAACCTGTACCCCCGCACATTGACTCGGTACCGGTACCCCCTGTATATAGCCTCGTTATTGTCATTTTATTGTGTTACTTTTTATTTTATTTTTTACTTTAGTTTATTTAGTAAATATTTTCTTAACTCTATTTCTTGAACTGCATTGTTGGTTAAGGGCTTGTAAGTAAGCATTTCACGGTAAAGTCTACACCTGTTGTATTCAGCTCATGTGACAAATAAAGTTTGATTTGATTTTGCTTCTTGCTGAGTGTTTGGGTGTGTGTGCTCCAGCCCCCAGCCGTCAGACACAGTGGGGACAGTACAGTTTGATGGGGAGGGCTACGCTGCAGTGAGCCGGCCCACCAGATGGAACCCCAACGTCTCCACCGTCATGTTCAAGTTCCGCTCCTTCTCCACCGACTCCCTGCTCATGTACTTTGCCACCAAGGATATGGTAACCTCACTCATACACATACCTGTATCTTAACGAGGACTGGCAAATTGTTGAACTATTAAATATGCGTTAGATATAAAGCATTTATCAATATTACTCAATATACTCTCGCTCTCTCTCTCTCTCACTTTCTCTCCCCCTCTCTCTCCCGCTCTCTGAGACAGAAGGACTTTATGAGTGCTGAGTTGAGTGATGGTCATGTGAAGGTTCGTTTTGACCTGGGCTCAGGCACCGGCTCGGTCTCCAGCATCAAGAGACACAACGACGGCAGGTGGAAGTCTTTCACTGTGGCCCGCATGAAGAAACAAGGTGACACTCACACTCATCATAATACATACAGTAAAACATTTCACTCATCTTGATGTTTCTAGAGCCTGTGTAGTTTAAAGAACATTTCCCTCAAGTTTATGTTTCTAGAGCATTTGTAGCTTCATCAGAGCATATTGTTGAACAGGCAAGTAATACCTTTACCCTTGTTGGTTTCCTCCCACCTCAGCTACGGTGGCCATCGTGGACATAGACTCCAATGAAGAGGAGAAGCTGGTGGTGTCATCTCAAGGCTCTGCCACTGGGCTCAACCTCAAGGAGGATGAGAGGATCTACTTTGGTGGTTTGCCAACCATTGGAAACTACAGGTATGTACTGTATTCTGTAGGAGGTCAATCACCTCCACAGTAGGGCCTAATACTACTATTTCAGTTTTTATGCACACACACACACTACACTCTGGGTCTGCATACTGAACACTACCTTTGATCATCAATCTCACTTCGGTTAACATGTGTAAAGGTCTGTAAGGAATCCCTGTATGGTCATTCTGAACTTTTCTTCAACTAAACTACACCTCGGATAGCTTTTCACGTCTGCTCCGTTCTTTGCTCAGACACTCAGTACTGTACAGTTACTCTTTGTTCCTGTTCTTCTCATATTGTCACGTTTGGACATGAAAGTTGAGGGTTGACAAGGCATATAGGTAGCCAGACAGACAGACAAAGACTTGAGTTTCCATTAGAACACCTCTATCTGCTGCCGGACCTTGAGTCAGTGTCACGTTGTCGCTGGCCTCTCTGGTGTTAACTCTTATAGAACTGTCACATAAACAGTAACAATAGGTTATGTAGATCTGACCTTCACAGTCTCCGGCAGTATGAGAGGTATATTCTATAGGCCTTATAGAAGTGGTAACCCTTTCAACACACACGGAGAACTGAATATACTTTTTAAACTTCTTATTGTGACATATTCTGTCTATGTTATTTTTTTATATTTTTTAAACCTTTATTTAACTAGGCAAGTCAGTTAAGAACAAATTCTTATTTACAATGACGGCCTACACCGGCCAAACCCGGACGACGCTGGGCCAATTGTGTGCCGCCCTATGGGACTCCCAATCACAGCCGGTTGTGATACAGCCTGGAATCGAACCAGGGGGTCTGTAGTGACGCCTCAAGCACTGAGATGCAGTGCCTTAGACCGCTGCGCCACTCGAAAGCCCATGTGTGTCATACTTGTCCTAATATGCATATACTTATATATTTTGCTCCTACAGTATTAAAGCAAGGTAAAATATGTACTGTTAAAGTTTACTGTATCACCTTTTGCATGTACTTGGCATAGCCCATTACTCTCTAAAGCCTCTCTGGTAACTTGGCTTTACCATGCAAGTTACCATGCATTTAGTTCAGAAAAGTATGCTTAAATTGTAGATGCTTTAATACAACATAAGCTGGTTATCAGAATTGAGCCAGTAAACACCCCTCCATTTCTCAATGAAGGTTTTAGATATTTGTCCAAATGAACTCTAGCACCATATTCTGAGGACCAATAGGCTACAGCTTCCACTCCTTTTCAGTCAGTAGCTACTGCTGTATTGTCACCCCACCACTTCTCTTACATGCTGTGGAATTAGCTGGCAAATTGCTGCACATTTTCAAATGAACATTTAACAATGAGGCTCTATTTGAAGCTTTGTATATGCTGCGCAGCAGCTGGTGTCTGATTGTTCAGATAAAGGTTCATAGCTTTTGAATAAACCCCAAATTAAAGGTATACAAAATAAATGTTCTTAAAACAGCTTCAAAACAGAAACCTGACTTTATTAATTTAGAATGAATGGAGTCTCAATGTGGTCTTTACCTCACATTGTCATTGGCTCCTGAAACTAGGACAGCGCTTGCACAATGAACAGAATGGAAGTCCGAATGGCAATTGAGACAACTCTCTCTTCTCTTTACAGGTCAGAGGTTACCAAGAAGAGGTATGCTGGCTGTATGAGAGACATTGAGGTTTCCAGAACCCCCTATAACCTGCTGAGCAGATCCGACTACACCGGTCTGACCAAAGGCTGCTCTGTAGAGGTCAGTTTATCCTCCACAGGTTTGATTAGCGCTCTTCCTCCTTCATCCTCATCTACTTTTCACCACTCCCTTTAATTATTCATAGATACAGGCCTGCTCATGAAATATGGCCAAACATTTTGCCTATAATCCCTTGAAAAAACATAAGGAAATCAAAACGAGTGAGGCATATAAATAACAGAGAAATCGCTGCTTATGAAATAGTTATTTTAGTTATGGGAAAAACATTTTAATATTTATACACACATTCACACCACAGACACAGAATGTAAAAAGAGTGTAGCAAAGAATTGAGTGGGAGAAGTCATTTTTAATTTAGCAACGGCTGGTTTGTACGTCTCAGTTGTGTTTGTAAGATGTTTGCAAGATTTCACACTCACTTCAGTACGCCTACTTCCATTTGCTGTGGACCCTGTGTCAATGCCTGATGATGCATCTGAAAATGCCTACAGTGGTACTCTAATTAACAAGGTTTATTATTATGTTCGATATAACTCTGAAATTGATATGGACATTATAAACAAAACAATACAGTGTGTTGTACTATATTGTACTATTATACAGTATTCAGATTATAAAAATAACTGCCAATTACTGATGACTCTCAATTGATTGTGCTGTGAATGAACATCATGACTGGTTTCTCTCTCGCCAACAGAACCTCCATACAGTGAGCTTCTCCAAGCCAGGTCACATGGAACTGAAGTCCATGTCCTTTGACGCTAAGACAGAGATCAGCCTGTCCTTCGCAACCAAGAGTGACAAGGGCATCATCCTGTTTGGCAGTGGGGGAACCAATGGGGCCAGCTCCCAGTTCCAACTCCCCAAGAGGAGACGCAGGCAGTCTGGGGAGGTAAGAGGAGGAGGATGAAACACACACGTATACACACACACACACACACACACACACACACACACGCATACACATACATACATACATACACACACACACACACAGCTATCAAAGCATTCTAACCCAGAACCTAGTCCTCTATAATGTCACCTCCTTGTTCTTTATAAGTCATTGGATCCTATTACCCAGTAGAACTGGAATGGCTGTTGGAGGTGTTTCTATGTTCCTGTAATTGAATAAGGAGTGCTGTGCTGTCTGGCTGAGTTGCTTTGAAAAACGAACAGCACATTGATAATCAACTCCTGCTATGTACGAGGCTCCTTATTAAATGAACTATAAAAGAGATGGATTGCCTGTGAGCTTTAATGATTATACTTTCACCTGACAGCAAACAAAAATCGATCATCTTTCACAGAGTGCTAAAGGCTGGGAGATTTGAGATGACAGTTTTGATTAAAATATGACTTTCTACGTCTCTGTTAGGGCACCCTTCATCTCTCTCTCATCTCTCCATCTCTTCATCTGCAGACCACCACATCAATTAGTGCCTGTGGCTGCAGGAAATGATAGTGGGTTTAACCTCTAACATTCTCCCTGCAAGTGTCGTTAGTAATAAATAGATTATACAACAGCCCTCTGATGGATCACGTCCAATTTAGCGATAACCCTTGGTAAAGGTCCAGACCGTCACCTTTAAAAATCATTAGACCTAGTAAATTAAGTGGATGTCATTTCGAATGAGTACAAGTTGGCCTCGTCTGTCTCTGTGTCCTCGTCATTCATTCTATCAATTTGCGCAGGGGACAGGAGGAACGCGTGCTGAATCAGACCAGAGGTACTGTAGCAGTAGCACTCCTTAACTTCCCCTCACTCTGCCTCACTCTCCCCAGGCAAACTCCCTCTGTGCATGCTAGTCTGCAATTCCAACGCCGTGGAGGGATGTGCTCACCATCTCGCTGGACTGATTACAGAGGATTTAATCATAACAAGGGGCACTTAAATCTATCTACTTATCGTCTAGTATGTTTCAGAGAGGGCTGCGCTTTCTTTGAAGCTCTGTCCAAACAGAATCCAATCAAGGCGTGTAGAGAAACTGAGGACTTACATAAATCTTACAGGCCCTCAGGGTTGAAAAGCATATCAGTATGCAATTATGTAAAGTTGACTTCCTTTCTCAAAGTATCTGAGGTTTCATCATTATTGAACAGAATTGTCTTAATGTTTCTGGCCAATGGCATAATGTTCTTATTGTCTTTGAACATTCAAGGCTCCATATTGTATGAAGCCTGTTCTGACTTGCTCCAGATTGTGTCTACTAAACAAAGGCTTTATGCACTGTGTGTTTATGTGCAATATTGATTTTCTGTATAACCCTGTGTCCCTGAGTCTGTCCTGAGGTGGTGTTGGTCATTTAGATTGGGTGGTGTTGTGCCTCCATGGTTCTCCCCCCTCACGCCCCCTTTCTTCTCCCCTGCCCCCTGCAGCCCTTCCTGGCTGTGTTGCTGAACAAGGGGACCCTGGAGGTGCTGGTGTTTACAGGCAGCCACAGCCCACGCAAGATGGTCTGCAAGCCTGACCACGGCATCCTGCACGATGGGAGAGAACACACCCTGCGCATTGAGCGACTGGGCGTCAGGTAAGGATCACACACACACACATTGCTATACACTGAACAGCCTCACATAGCACAATAACTTGTGTCTTAATGAACTAGTTTCAAGCCATTCATTTTTAGCTGTCTCTACACAGAGCTGGCTCAAAGTGTATCACTGTCCTGTGTGTGTCTCTGTCCAGGTCATTTGCAGTCCAGGTGGATGAGGAGCTGAAGAGGGAGCTGGCCCTTCCCAACGACCAGCCAATGGGCATCAAGAGACTGTTCATCGGGGGTATCCACGCTGACGTAGAGCTCAGCTCCCAGAGACCCAACGTCCCTTTCGAAGGCTGCATCTGGAACCTCATGATCAATACCATGTACATCGCTCACGTCTCCTATTATCTCCATATAACTATTCATTATCCTGATCGTAGATATTGGATCATTATTAGTAGATATTATTAATGGAAGGCTTTGTGGGACGTGTTGTACATGTGAAGTAGTTGTGAGCTGTTTCATGGTGCGTTGGTTTCTCCAAGTTAAACAGGTTGTAAATGCAGTCATTTGACTCCTTGACCTGTTTTGACAGTTTTTCTCTATGGATGATAATACATTCCTATCATTAGGCTCAGTGCTCTCTCTCTCTTCCCAGTGGACTAAACACAGTTCACCCATATTTAGTTGGCTTTAATGGGGCTGTCCTCTGTGATAACCATGTTCATAATTCAACTGATTACACATCATCACCCATTAACACACTTTATTTCTCTCCCTCTCTCTGTGTGTTCGTGTGTGTGTATTTCTGTGCGCACGTCCATGCGTGTGTTTGTATGCCCGTTTATACCCTACAGCCTCACAGACTTCTCCCAGTCTGTGGCCTTTGAGAATGCAGAGATCGGCCAGTGTTCCAACCTGGCCCCTCCCCCTCCCCCTCTGCCCCTCCCAGAGGAGGAGCCTGATGAGGAAGAGGAGAAGGCCAAGGGAGAAGACGTGTCCCAGCCGGTCCAACCTAAGGCTCCACCACCCACCCCGACACCCAGACAGACCCCTCCACCTCCCACTGTAGGTCCCCCTCCGGTCCAACCTAAAGCTCCACCACCCACCCCGACACCCAGACAGACCCCTCCACCTCCCACTGTAGGTCCCCCTCCGGTCCAACCTAAAGCTCCACCACCCACCCCGACACCCAGACAGACCCCTCCACCTCCCACTGTAGGTCCCCCTCCGGTCCAACCTAAGGCTCCACCACCCACCCCCGACACCCAGACAGACCCCTCCACCTCCCACTGTAGGTCTCCCTCCGGTCCAACCTAAGGCTCCACCACCCACCCCGACACCCAGACCCCTCCACCTCCCACTGTAGGTCCCCCTCCTATGGGTATAATTTTACATTTACATTTTAGTCATTTAGCAGACGCTCTTATCCAGAGCGACTTACAGTTAGTGATAGCATATTATTAATTTATTTCACACTGGCCCCACAATGAACCCACAACCCTAGCGTTGCAAGCGCCATGCTCTACCAACTGAGTAAAATACAATAAAGTCACATTAAAGGACTAAGTTCCCACCCTATGATGGAGTGATATATTATCCCCATAAAGAGCTGACATCCATCCCCAGCACAGCTCAGCCAGACAGACCAGTTGGCCCCGAGTCTAAATACACCATCAGAGAGGTTGATGTGGCTGGAATAAAGAATGGGCTGTTTTCCAATCCATTAGGTCTGCTTTATAGGTAAAGCTGCAGTGTTGACAGGGCTCTTTCTCATAGCTCCACTGCTCCATATATCCTCTTTGGCTGACAGCTGAGGTACTGTAGCAGCTCTCTCTCTCTCTGTCTCTCCTCTCTCTGTGTGTCTCTCTGTCCTCCTCTCTCCTCTCTCTGTCCTCCCCTCTCTCTCTGTCCTCCCCTCTCTCTCTCTGTCCTCCTCTCTCCTCTCTCTGTCCTCCCCTCTCTCTCTCTGTCCTCCTCTCTCCTCTCTCTGTCCTCCCCTCTCTCTGTCCTCCCCTCTCTCTCTCTCTCTCTCTCATCCATCCTTCCAAACTCATTCATTCTCTGCTAACCAAGGTGCCTTGCATTGGCCAACACCACCTGTATTTTCCTCATATATTCTCTTGATATATCTCCATGGTATGTATCATCGTAGGCAAATTAATAGATTGCTACAGTATTGCCACTGGTAGTACCTCTCTTTTCTTGTAGAAATTATGTGTATTTCGGTAATCATACTGTAATCTTTTTTTTAGCACTGTTCCTCTAGCTACCTGCTGTGCTGACTTTTCGCCATTCGTGACATCAGTGCCCCAGCCTGATTGTTGGGCCGCATGTGTCATGAATGCTGTAGCAAATACGATTGGCTGTGTGTAACCCAGCTTAACCCTTTCACTCCCCCCTTGCCCTGCTGCTGCTTTAGGACGCGCCCTCTGTCGTACCTCCAGAGCTCAGCCCCGCCACAGAGGAACCCGACCACACCGCTGTCACAGTCCCACCGGTACCACTCCACTTTACTCACTCACTTGTCCCTGCGTGTCCACATTCTTACCCTCCTGAGCCTTCTTAGCATGTGTGTCTGCGGAACCTTCATCTTAATGGATTTCAGCCATAGACCTTCAACACCAAGCCCCCTGTGTGAAGATTTGTTGCTCATGTGAAATATACATGCACAAACTTTCCATGTCCATATTCGTAGTATTGCCAGAAGACATTTGACTTTCAATAGGGATTTTCTTAGAAGATCATTTATTTCTAAGTAAATCAATATGGTTGTAGTAGTTCTGATTTATAAACAGGCTATATAGGATATATGCTGTACCATTTGCAGTGTGAAATAAGTGTATGCAGTGTAAAATAAATGCCCTTTTAAGCAATTGGAGCCTTTGTGGCTTAACAAGAATATAGAAAAAAAGATATCATGCAAGGTCAGAGGAATAGGGATGTCTTCATGTTCTGAACAGAACCAAAGAAGTGATTCAGATGTTGGCCTTGCAAGGTGGCCTTGCAAAAACAAATGTAAATTTTCCGATTGTCTCAATAGCAAATCCATGTCTTTTTCAATAGCACCATCTACTGGCACATGTTAGAATAGCACTTCAGATAGAAACAGAAAGCAGGTAAACTATATTCATATTAAAATGAATGTTTGCATTGTGTTTTTAATGCACTCTTTGAATGAGATCATGTTAGCTAATATTATAATTTCAAGACGACTGCTACTACCCCCCCCCCCCCCCACCCCCCACCCCCCACACACACACAGGTTTCCTGTGCTGCCGAGGCATCTCCAGTGGTCTTAGAGAAAGCCAAACAGTTTGGGCTCTCCAAAAACAGCCATGTTGCATTTCAATTTCATGACACAAAGGTTAAGAACAGGTATGTAGCGTTTCAATTGCTTTGAAAAGTCCAAATGAGACCTTTCTTATCTAGATCATACATACTAGTCGGTTCTAATGTAATTTAAAACATGGGTAATATCTGCAAATATCATATTGGACTGGCTGTTGTGAATCTGTTTGCTTGCAGGCTAATCATAGAGTTTGAGCTGCGGACCACAGCAGAGTCAGGCCTGGTGTTCTATATGGCAAGGATCAACCACGCTGACTTTGCCACCATCCAGGTGAAGGAGGGCGTGGCCCACCTCAGCTACGACCTGGGCCACGGCAACACCTCCGTCAGCGTGCCACGCATCATCAACGACGGACACTGGCACAAGGTCTGGGATTACGTGATGTACCTCTCGAGCCAGCCGGGAAAACAATCATAATAACAATTTATGACCCCTAGCATGGTGTACAAAGTCTGTTGGCAGTTACGATCAGTTCTACTTCACTGTCTGAGTGAGTTTAGATAGTGAGAGCAGACAGCTAAATACTGTGTCACAATGACACAACTACAAAACCACATCATTTTCTATTTGACTAGTTCATTGACCAACACAGGTAGCAAGCAAAGTAATCAGGAACTACAGTTCTTTATTTTCATCATGTATTAAAGATATGTATTGTTATTGTCCTTGTTTACCCCTGAATCTTTCCCCTTCTGCTGTCTCAGATCCAGGTGATGAGAGAGAAACAGAGAGGTGTACTGGTGATAGACAACCGCTACTCCAAGCACACCACCAGCCCCAAGAAGGCTGACATCCTGGATGTGGTTGGTATGCTGTACATAGGTGGCCTACCTGTCAACTACACCACCAAGAGGATCGGACCAGTACGTTCATACACGCTTCCTCACATTTGGTTTGATGGTGCATTTCATTTGTAGGAAGTAAAACACAAAGCCTTATACACTGTATTACTGTAATTGTATGTATTTACATTTGGGTTGATATTAGAAGTAATTATTTACTATTTATGGGATAGATTCAACAGTAAATTAAACTACTCTGTGTAAAGTCATATGTAATAGCATAGTTAAAGGTGTGTTGTGTTCTTCTAGGTCTTGTATAGTATCATTGGCTGCATCAGGAAATGTAAGATGCTGGGTAATGTGTTGGACATGGACACGCCCACCTCCAGCCACCAAGTGGGCAGCTGTTTCATCAGCACTGAGAAGGGAACCTACTTCGATGGCACTGGATATGTTAAAGCAGGTACATTCTGACACTCAAAACTTAGAACTATAAGAAAAACTCCAGGCCGTAGTAACATAACTATAAGGTCCTGGGGTTTTCCTGGTCAGGCCACATGGTCAGGAAAAACTCCTGACCCCATAATGCAATACATCCCATCAATGACATAATATAATAACTCCTCGTACACCAAAGTTTCACAGATCTCGTTTTTATGAAAGTATAATGACTCCCTGTCAAAATAAAGGTTAAATAAAAATAGAGAACTTATTATTCAATCTCATGAGAGTTGTTGTATCAGTTCTTACTGTTCCCTGTATCTCCTCTCCTTTGTGGTCCAGTGGGTTCCTACAGGGTGGGTCTGGACGTGTCTCTGGAGCTGGAGTTCCGTACGTCCCAGAGCAACGGGGTTCTGCTAGCGGTCAGCAGCCAGGTGGACACCAAGATGGAGGGCCTGGGCATCGAACTGCACGGCAGAAAGGTACACACAAGCATGCAATACAATGCAATACAATACAATGCAATACAATACAGCTTTGTTGTCCCACATACATTTAATTCTAACCAGACTCTACACTCTCTTCTGTAAGCCTAACAACAACCATGAGTGTGCAATGCTATTGTACTGTATAAATTCAATAATGGGGTTCAAGAGAATCATGGTTGTTCATAAATAACAGTCATGTTTTGTGACAAACTGCCTATTGGACAAGTTAGGTTTATTCTGAGTATGTCTTCTCCCCTCCCTAGCTGCTGTTCCACGTGGACAACGGGGTGGGCCGGATCACAGCCGAGTACCAGCCTGAAGCAGAGGCAGGCCTCTGTGACGGTCAGTGGCACTCAGTCACTGCCCACAAGCTCCGCCATAGGCTGGAGATCATTGTAGACGGCAGGAAGGAGGAAGCAGAGAGCCCCAACGCCAGGTCCAACACCGCTGACACCAACGACCCCATCTACGTTGGTGGATACCCAGGTACATGATACGACAGCACTCACCAAGCATATCACACCTGGGACATGTTCAGTAGAGGCACCGTTGTGGAACATTGAACATTCACTTAGAACTGTATAATGTAGAACAGACATACCTCTGGAATCAGGTTACATACCAACTCCTGAACATGACCCTGGATACTGTGTGGGACATTCAAGTTGTGTGCCAAACCATGCTTCACTACAATGTTGAAGATGTTTGTGATTTACTTCCTATCTAAACCTCAGGAGATAATCAAAGTTATAACCTCCAGCAGTCATCGGCTTCCTAATTTATGAAACAGAATCATGAATTTGCTTAATGGGGCAGAGGATTACAGTCATAAATCAACCGCTGTCTTTTATGTCTTTTCCAGAGGGGCTCAAGCAGTTTGGCCTGACTACCAGCACTTCATTCAAGGGCTGCATGCGCAACCTGAAGATAACCAAGGCATCCAAAGTGTTGGAGGTTCAATTCAACAAGGGCCTGGAGTTCAAGGGGGTTCAACCCCTCACCTGCCCAGCCAATGCAGCCTAAACACAGACTACCAAAACCTGTCACTGCTAGAGGCACAGCAGCAGCACCAAAACACATGGAAACAAAACCGCTGGATCAGTGGGCCAACCAGCTTTATACACAGGGTTTGGATAGCTTTTTAGAGTGTGAAGTATACAATACAATACAAGTGAGTGGAACCTTTAGGAAGACATAGTATAAAATCATGGTTCATTTAACCTCTCAAGGATCACACCCTTCTTTTCAATTTCCCGCCTAAAATGACATATCCAAATCTAACTGCCTGTAGCTCAGGACCTGAAGTAAGGATATGCATATTCTTGATACTAGTTGAAAGGAAACACTTTGAAGTTTGTGGAAATGTGAAATTAATGTAGGAGAACATTACATAATAGATCTGGTAAAAGATAAAAACAAACAAAAAAACATGTTTTCTATTTGTATTTTTGTTGCATAATCTTTGACATGAAAGATAAAAGCCATAGATTCAGATAGGAAGCTGGAGATAATTTAGATGTTGTCCACAAGAGGTCAACAGTGTATGTACAAAGTTTCAGACTGATACATTCAAGAACGAACGAGCTACATAACATTTAGTATGAAGTCACCCAGGTGTCCCTCACGAGTTTGCCCAAATGTACCCAAGTGGCCTCCAAGTGGCCAAATTGGTAAATTGATACATTTTCAAGTACATAACTATAGAGAACATACTCAAATGCTATGGTAATAAAAAATACAAGCTTACACTCCCAGGAATGTCATACATGATGGATCATTAGCTTCCCTACATAAGACACTAACCTTCACACATCTAGATGGCCGGACGGGGTGAGTTTGAAGCCAGAGACAGCAGCAGGGGTCCAACTGAATGAACCAGTTTCTACTGGAGGACTTGAATGTGGTCTCTTTGGTGTTGGCTCCCAGAGGTAATCTGAGTCAGAGTCTCTAGCACTATAGAAGATGTAAAAAATTCTGTAAGAACTCAAGTTTACTGTTACTTATTTTATTGAACGTTTATATTAGCAGGGGTGAGCCCTGCATCAATACCTTTGCGGATGAGCCCTGCATCAATACATCAAATAAACAACACATATCTATAAACATTTATTATATAGAGTTTGGGGAACACAATCACTATGATGAAATATGTTTACCAATAGTAAATAGGGCAGACCTACAATGTATTTATACAGACCTAAAATGTATTAGCATAGCCATTGTGTATTTTATGTTGACTGAGTCTGTAAAAAAATCTGTAAGAACTCAAGTTTACTATTACTTATTTTATTGAACCTTTATTTTAGCAGGGGGTGAGCCTGCATCAATTATTTTAGCAAGGGGGTGAGCCCTAGCCAATGTGTATTTTATGTTGACTATCACATGCTGTGCCTGTGGTTTTCGAGTGCCCTATTTACTATTGGTAAACATATTTCATTATAGTGATTATATACAGTGGGGAGAACAAGTATTTGATACACGATTTTGCAGGTTTTCCTACTTACAAAGCATGTAGAGGTCTGTAACTTTTATCATAGGTACACTTCAACTGTGAGAGACGGAATCTAAAACAAAAATCCAGAAAATCACATTGTATTATTTTTAAGTAATTAATTTGCATTTTATTGCATGACATAAGTATTTGATCACCTACCAACCAGTAAGAATTCTGGCTCTCACAGACCTGTTAGTTTTTCTTTAAGAAGCCTTCCTGTTCTCCACTCATTACCTGTATTAACTGCACCTGTTTGAACTCGTTACCTGTATAAAAGACATCTGTCCACACACTCAATCAAACAGACTCCAACCTCTCCACAATGGCCAAGACCAGAGAGCTGTGTAAGGACATCAGGGATAAAATTGTAGACCTGCACAAGGCTGGGATGGGCTACAGGACAATAGGCAAGCAGCTTGGTGAGAAGGCAACAACTGTTGGCGCAATTATTAGAAAATGGAAGAAGTTCAAGATGACGGTCAATCACCCTCTGTCTGGGGCTCCATGCAAGATCTCACCTTGTGAGGCATCAATGATCATGAGGAAGGTGAGGGATCAGCCCAGAACTACACGGCAGGACCTGGTCAATGACCTGAAGAGAGCTGGGACCACAGTCTCAAAGAAAACCATTAGTAACACACTACACCTTCATGGATTAAAATCCTGCAGCGCACGCAAGGTCCCCCTGCTCAAGCCAGCACATGTCCAGGACAATCTGAAGTTTGCCAATGACCATCTGGATGATCCAGAGGAGGAATGGTGGAAGGTCATGTGGTCTGATGAGACAAAAATAGAGCTTTTTGGTCTAAACTCCACTCGCCGTGTTTGGAGGAAGAAGAAGGATGAGTACAACCCCAAGAACACCATCCCAACCGTGAAGCATGGAGGTGGAAACATCATTCTTTGGGGATGCTTTTCTGCAAAGGGGACAGGACACCTGCACCGTATTGAGGGGAGGATGGATGGGGCCATGTATCGCAAGATCTTGGCCAACAACCTCCTTCCCTCAGTAAGAGCATTGAAGATGGGTCGTGGCTAGGTCTTCCATCATGACAACGACCTGAAACACACAGCCGGGGCAACTAAGGAGTGGCTCCGTAAGAAGCATCTCAAGGTCCTGGAGTGAGCTAGCCAGTCTCCAGACCTGAACCCAATAGAAAATCTTTGGAGGGTGCTGAAAGTCTGTATTGCCCAGCGACAGCCCCGAAACCTGAAGGATCTGGAGAAGGTCTGTATGGAGGAGTGGGCCAAAATCCCTGCTGCAGTGTGTGCAAACCTGGTCAAGACCTACAGGAAATGTATGATCTCTGTAATTGCAAACAAAGGTTTATGTACCAAATATTAAGTTATGTTTTTCTGATGTATCAAATAGTTATGTCATGCAATAAAATGCAAATTCATTACTTAAAAATCATACAATGTGATTTTCTGGGTTTTTGTTTTAGATTCCGTCTCTCACAGTTGAAGTGTACCTATGATAAAAATTACAGACCTCTACATGCTTTGTAAGTAGGAAAACCTGCAAAATCGGCAGTGTATCAAATACTTGTTCTCCCCACTGTATATAGCAATCAAATAAAAATATCTCAAATGAATAATATGCAACCATTTAAATAACTGCATGAGAAGAAATAAAGTATTTTACTTACCAGTCTAAAGTTACGTCTTTCCCATCCAAAAGAAATCAGCGTGAGTCTACAGTGTAATCACTAACTGAGTCCTCATCAATTTCTATGCCACTTTCCCGATCGATTTCGATCTGTATACTTGGTCTTCGATTGAGCTTTTCCTGTTTTATTAGCCATGTTCTACGTTCTAAAATAGCAACAAACTTGGTAGAACTAATCAAGCGTGCGTGCTTAATCCCTCTTTGTTCTCTCGATTTTATCTGCCCAATGTATGTTGTTGCGCGCGAGCTCAGCACAATGGGTTTTACTCACACAAAGGACCATCACATACTCCTGTAAAGTCCAGCTCATTGGCTATCTAGCTAGCTATTTTTCAAAACGACAGGTGGACATTGGACTAAGATACAGTCAATCAAGTGAACACCGCCCGTCTCATTGGTGCGTAATCATGTCAATCCTTGGTGGGCTAATATACCTTTTGTTTAGCCAATGCGTCATGCAGAATCATGAAACAAGTTCGGTCACCTTCTAGAGTATCTTGACTGGGTGAAACAAGGTGTAGCGTTTATATTATGTTGAAATGTTTTGTTACAATTTCAACTAGTCGGAATTCAGGCGAAACGCTGTATAAAACATGGACCGTGTTAGGATATAAAAATGGATTTTATCAAACAAAACAATGCTACGTTTTCTCTCTGGGACCCTCAGGATGACAAATCAGAGCAAGATTACTGAATGTAAGTACATTATTTATCTTCAGAGATGAATGTATCAAACCAGTTGCCTTGATTTGCCTCGCCCTCCATTTGGCAAATCTGACCATAACTCTATCCTCCTGATTCCTGCTTATAAGCAAAAACTGAAGCAGGAAGCACCAGTGATTCGGTTAATAAAAAAGTGGTCAGATGACGCAGATGCTAAGCTACAGGACTGTTTTGCTAGCACAGACTGGAACATGTTCCGGGATTCTTCAGACAGCATTGAGGAGTACACCACATCAGTCACTGGCTTCATCAATAAGTGCATCGATGATGTCGTCCCCACAGTGACCGTACGTACATACCCCAACCAGAAGCCATGGATTACAGGAAACATCCGCACTGAGCTAAAGGGTAGAGCTGCCGCTTTCAAGGAACGGGACTCTAACCCGGACGCTTATAAGAAATCCCGCTATGACCTCCGACGAACCATCAAACAGGCAAAGAGTCAATACAGGTCTAAGATTGAATCATACTACACTGGCTCTGACGCTCGTCGGATGTGGCAGGGCTTGAAAACTATTACAGACTACAAAGGGAAGCACAGCCGCGAGCTGCCCAGTGACACAAGCCTACCAGATGAGCTAAACCACTTCTATGCTCGCTTCGAGGCAAGCAACACTGAAGCATGCATGAGAGCACCAGCTGTTCCGGACGACTATGTGATCACGCTCTCCGTAGCCGATGTGAGTAAGACTTTTAAGCAGGTCAACATTCACAAGGCCGCAGGGCCAGACGGATTACCAGGACGTGTACTCCGAGCATGTGCTGACCAACTGGCAAGTGTCTTCACTGACATTTTCAACATGTCCCTGACTGAGTCTGTAATACCAACATGTTTCAAGCAGACCACCATAGTCCCCGTGCCCAAGAACTCTAAGATAACCTGCCTAAATGACTACCGACCCGTAGCACTGACATCTGTAGCCATGAAGTGCTTTGAAAGACTGGTCATGGCTCACATCAACAGCATAATCCCAGAAACCCTAGACCCACTCCAATTTGCATACCGCCCCAACAGATCCACAGATGATGCAATCTCTATCGCACTCCACACTGCCCTTTCCCACCTGGACAAGAGGAACACCTACGTGAGAATGCTATTCATTGACTACAGCTCAGCATTCAACACCATAGTGCCCT